CAGCTAACAGCAGCCGAACGTTCACACAAACAGCTAACAGCAGCCGAACGTTCACACAAACAGCTAACAACAGCCGAGCGTTCACACAAACAGCTAACAGCAGCTGAACGTTCACACAAACAGCTAACAGCAGCCGAGCGTTCACACAAACAGCTAACAGCAGCTGAACGTTCACACAAACAGCTAACAGCAGCCGAACGTCCACACAAACAGCTAACAGCAGCCGAACGTTCACACAAACAGCTAACAGCAGCTGAACGTTCACACAAACAGCTAACAGCAGCCGAGCGTTCACACAAACAGCTAAAGACAGCAGCTCAGCAGACGTGGAGAAGAATGGGATCTGATAATGGACGAGGGAAGATTTCGGTGTTTTGAAACCATCAGCTGTTGGTTTGTTTTTCAGAAAGTGTCTTTTCGAACCAGGATGTGTTTAATCAGCCTCATCGTCCAGCTGCTGGGCGAACGGTCGGCTCAGTCCTCAGCTGGTACCTGGTGTGCTCTTCTGTTGCTGGAGTCCATCTGCTCCACGGCTGGACACGTTCAGAACTGGTGCTCCTCAGACTTTGGCTGGAACCAGTGGTTCTCTGAGCTGCTGTTGCCTTTTCGTCATCTCCCACCAGTCAGACCTCTGACACCAACAAGCTTTTTTTGTTCACACTGAATATTTGTTCATATTTTAGATGTTTGTGTAAAAATCCAGCAGATCAGCAGTTTCTGAAATATTCAGACCAACAACTTAAACTGTGGGTTTAAATTTGAAAACAGAAGTTTGCAGGGGTTTATATTTTAAATACCTCAGTGTCAAAACGGCTGTGTAGCCCCTCCCCTTTTGATTGACACTTGGTTTGACCATCCGTGGTTCAATATCTACGGAGTCCTACATACTGGTTATAGTTATAATAACTTCAACAGTGAAGTTTTAAAATTCAGACTTTAACTTGACACAGACCAGAACTCCAAATCGTTCAAGAGCAGAAATCATTTAACAAGCGAATAAAGTGTCTGGTGGGTGTTTAATAAAAAAGAGGAACTGTTCTCCGACTATTTTCAGCTCTTCTGTGTATTTTAGGCAACATGACAAAAGATCATCTCACCCACATCGAGGAAGAATTTGCTGACCTAAAAACACTCATTTAAACACCAGAAATGTTCTTTAGAGAAGGTGAGGAAATGCTGCAGCTCTCTGTCACTAAATCAACAGAGTAAAACTTTGACCTTTGACCCGACCCGAGCACTCGCAGCAGCAGGACTGAACGAGTCCAGACAAACTGAGCAGAGACTCTCTGAAACTGAATCCTCTGAAACTGTCTCGTATCTGATCCGTGAGAAGTTTCTCTTTTTTCTATAAACGCCCGATATCAACGGGCAGGACTCTCAGCTCCTGACTAAACACGACTTCTGGGAATATTCAGAAATAAAACACAAACAAAATGTACTTTTTAAAATACTGAGAGCCTTTTCATTAAACGGAAGCTCCATGACCTTTTGTAGAGAGACAACTCTGTAAACAGAAGACGACCACGAGAGCCAGGGTCCAAGCAGTTGATATATATATATATATATATATATATATATATATATATATATA